TACTCATTCCCTACAGTTTGTTTCTTTGATCTTCATTTTTTTCATTCCATTGTATTTTTGTTCTGCTTAGTCTGTTTTGTTGGTGATATTTCCACTGAGATTTTTGTTTCATTATGTTTTAGCTTCTAAGATTTCTATTGTCTTTAGAATCTGTATCTGCTTGCTCAATATCTTACCTAAGTTGCTTTTTAAAAATTTATGTCTCAAATTAACCTCTTTATTTAATCATATTTATTTAAATATTCTTAAATTAAAAAGTATTTACATAGCATCAGGTTTCATTCTGCATTTTTCAAACAAAATCTGTTTCAGTTGTTTCTTTTCCTCCTCATCCTCCTTCCTCCCCTGTTCTTTTCCAACTTCACTAGACTCCTTTCTGTTTCCATGCCATAGGTGGTCTTTTGTCTTTGTTCTACTTTCTCATCATTTCTGGTTCCCCCCAGTAGTCTTCTAGCTACTTTCATAACCATTTTGTGCTACCTTATTTGCATATATATAAGTATTAGAAGTTGTATTCTTCATATGAATGAGAACATGAGATTTTTGTCATTCAGAGTCTAGGTTCTCTTTGATCAATTTTAAATGTAAACTTTTCGAATTTATTGTCTGGTATTTTAGAGTTTGGATTTGCTTTTTTAAGGGTTTGTGAATCTTAAGAGGATTCATGTTTTGCTTTTTATACTTCTTTTGTGTTTAAGATTTGTGTCTGTCAGGATAGATATCTCTTTCACTTTCAGTTTTATATGGAAGTCTTCTTAATAAGCACCCTGCTCTCAAGGGCTCAATCCTCAATACCACCCAGAGAAGAGTAAATAATAGCAGGCAGACATACCAAGTATAGAGACAATAAAAAAAAGATCGCTACTATTATTGCCTACAAACATAGAAGTAAACAGGGCAAACTTGATAAAGAATAAAGAATGAAGTTAAAATGAATTAAGGTTATACTGGGCTAACTATGAAGTTGTTGCACCAGAATTTGGTTCAACCTGCTCAACATCATAAACATTCAGAGGCCATTGTAGATGTAGTTAAAAGATACCATGGCTAGTGATTAAGTCTTGGCCCTATCCATGTGGGATTGGTTTGGCAAGCATGCAAATTTCAGTGTTATAGGATCATGGAGGCTTCTATCTACACCTCAAAAGAAACTCCTGGGAGGCCAGGCAATATGTGCAAAAGTAAGTATCCGTACAAGAAGACTACCAAGAGATTATGTATGTAACTATGAGAGTGAAATTTTAGTTGAAATAGTCTTCTCAAAAATAAATGCCAGGAATGTGGAATATCTGCCAAAGATAACTGCAGGCAGGACGTAAAACCAGTGTCAGAGAGATGCTAGTGGGTAGCAGCAATCAAAGCTACACTGGTGGGGGACTGCCCAAGAAGTCCTTAAAAACTTAATGGAGAGAAAGATGTCTTAAAATTTTTTTCCATTACCAAACTCATTTTTCCCCAAGAATTTTTTCACAACCCGGTAGATAGCTATGTAAAATAGGGATACAAAACCCAAACATTTACTGGTAGTAAATTATAAAGAAATATATTTCAAAACACCTCATTGGTAGAAATATAGATTGATCATTTATTAAAGATAAAAGCAAATTTACATAGTAATGAGATGGATATACTTGCTTATTTTTATATGAAGAGTTCAATCTTCATTTAGAATAGTTGATATTGCAGAATATAGAGCATCTTCAACACTTTCCAGGGTTAGTCAGTAGTTTTATAACCATCAATGCTGAGACCACCAATTCACATAAATACATAGTATAAAATGACAGAAATATATTTAGGGCAATTATAAAATTATTGGAAATTCTGTCCTAATCCCAAGCCAAAATTCAGAGAGTAATTATTGTTATGAAACTCAGAAACTCAAACAGCAATTTTACAAAGCAAACGTTCTAACACAGTATAATTCTATACATTAATACAGGTTAAACAATGATGTAAGGAAAATACTAAAATTCTTAGTTTTCCACAATTAGATCATTATGTTTTTATAGGAAAAAAATTTGCATGTTTTTATTTAAAAAGAACTGCACTAAAATGCATAATATAAAGTAGTCTCCAACCTGAGTCTAGGTTATTCAGAAAGCAGTTACTGGCGTTCTGTGGCCTAACAGCACATACAGTGAAGCTTCCATATTGGGTGTTTAGATGCAACACAGTTGAGTACTCCACAAACACTTTGGATTCATTACAAGTTTAAGTTTGAATGACTATTTTTGTCATTGCTTTCAAAACATTTTTACTCTTGTCAAATTTTTCTTCTCTCCCATATTTGATTACATGATTCTATGTAATTCACTGTTTAAGAAGCTGAATCTAAAACAAAGTACAATGATGGTCATGTGTGAAATGTTATAATGGAGCCCATTATTTTGTATGTTAACTAAAATTAATTAAATATCTATGAGAAATAAACTATCAAGAATGTATATGTGAATGTACATTTCCTGTCCTGACCAACTGTTCCCAAATACGTGGTGACTGCTTCCCAGATTACCCCATAGAGACATAATATAAATTATAAATGATCTGCCAATAGCTCAGGATCATTACTAACTAGCTGTTACATTTTAAGTTAACCCATATTTTTTATTTATGCTCTGCCACGTGGTGGTACCTTTATTAGCATTGGCACATTCATCTCCTGCTTCCTGTGTATCTGGCTGGTATCTCCCGACTCTGCCATTCTCCTTCCCATCATCCTTAGTTTGGTGGCCCCATGTATACTTCCTGCCTGGCTACTGGCCATTCTTTGTTTTATTAAACCAATTTAAGTGACAAATCTTTACAGTGTACAAGAGGATTATTCCACATCATATATTATATATATTATTATAAGCATATATTAATTTAACAGAAAGGTCCCATATATATATGTGTGTGTGTATGTATGTATATGTGGATATACTATAAGTATATTAAGCTGTTCTACAATAGAGACTTTAATATTTCAATTTTATAAATACAAAGAAAGATTAATCAAAGTGTTAATACTAAATTGGTAGTTTTAAAAATAACCATTTAAAAATAGGCCTAATCAAAAATAAAAATATTTTTCTCAGAAGCACATGAGAGAGGCTTCAGGAAGGATTGGGATTGTTGGAGTAACAGTTGTACACCACCACATTTGGCTTAGTGGGAGTGCATAACAAACGAGAGTTCAAGGCTTTTATGGCTCAGTTACTTGCCTTTCTTCCTGAAAGACAGTTTGAGCTCCTCTGCTCAGGATGAGGAAGGTAATTTGGAGATGTCAAGGCTGACCTTTTGGAAGGTTGGAAGCAGTAACTTAGTAAAGAGTCTAAGATGGGGCTCAAGTGCTGGCTTGGGGTAAAGCTGTTGCTGCCAAGACTGATGGCCTCAAGTCCACCCTCAGGATTCCCATGCTAGAAGAGAACTGAATACAGCAAATTGTCCTAATTTGACCTCCACAAGTGTCTGAACACACACACACACACACACACTTAACAAAGAGTCTAAGAGGTGAATTAAAAATATCATTATATAGGGTTGCCATAAGTCCATTGTCGTGAATGTATAAATGTACTTTGAGCATATTCCTTCTTTACCCCTGATTATACTCTTTTATTATTACCACTTCCCCTCTCTTATTCTCTTTGTTCTCATGTTTGGCTTTTACTTTCTTGTCATCTATACATATGTGATCTCATAGATATATAGAAGTTAGGATCCACAAATGAGAGAAAACTGTTATTAACATATTTGTTATGGAGCTAGAAAGCTGGCTCTTCAAATAAAGGCACTCATTAAGCAAACCTATGACCTGAATTTGAGCTTGAGAAACCATGTAAAGGTGGGAGGAGAGAACCAACTCCACAAAATGTCTTCTGACCACAATGTGTGCCCACTCATACATATCACATCCACAGGCACACGAGTACTACTATTAAAATAAAATTAGAAAAAAAGTAAAAAAATACATATCTGAAAACATGCGTATAAGTAACAATATGTGGACCAAGCAGGTTTTATTTAGGAATATATATGTACATATACAGATATGCATGCTATAACAATTAATGCAAAAAGAGACCATAAATTTGAAAGAGAATAGGGCTGAGGCGGTATTTGGGAGGCTTTGGAGAGAGGGAATGAAGAAATGTAATTATATTATAATTTCAAAAATTAACAGCAACAACAAAACGTATCTATGTGGGACTGGCTTACTTCATTCACTAACTACAATTATCTCTGGGAATTGTTTTTGATGAAGGGTTTCACTCCAAATAGTTCAAGCAACCCAAGAACCCTTTGTACTTTTTCCCTAACCTTCTAGAATGCTGGGATTGCAGATGTCAATCACTAAGCCCATCTTTAAAAACACACCAACCTTCAACTATGTGTTAGACCAAAAGCTTGCAATATTCTTACTACACTGGGGATAGAACCCAGAGCCTTTGGCTACGAAATCTAGGGCAAGGTCTCCACTATAGGACACACTACAGGAAAACTCAAAAAATAATAAAACAGGGCGAGAGTAGGAGCTGAGAAATGATCAGCCCTTATGCACTCACATTCAACTCTAATCCTTGGGTATGGATTCTTTCCATCATCTTGGCTGCTTTCTTTCTCAAGCTCCTATTAAGCAAGCCACTGGCTGGTGCCTCATTGCTGTCTCCACCACTGCCACCTTACTTGTACTCCCTGTAGGTGGCGCTGTGCCAAGAGGTGTGCCTTCTAGGAGCCTGCCCCTCTTTGTGACGCTCATATGGGTGACATTCTGTGACATCACCGCTACTCTGTCACCGTTGGTATCTAGTCGCCATTACTGTGTCCTCAATGTTGTCTGCGGGCTTAGGTGGTGAGAGAATCAACATTAGTTTTTGTGAGACTGGACAAAGATCGGTCTAGGACTGAGCCAGTGGGAAGAGGGGCAGAGACTGGGGATACAGCCTGTATCTGTGATCATTGTTTGGCAGAGACGGAAGTGTGTCAGGCACTAGAGTGACTAGGCCTCATTGGCCATGGCAGTGGACTTGGGGGACCAAGCAAGTGGCTTTAGCCACAGTGAGGTGGTCAGATTTATAAACAATGAAATCCTTATGAACAGAGGAGGACCTGAGTTCTACATGGCTTTTCGCATGCAGCCCTGGAATGAAATAGAAGACCAGCTTTGCACCATTCTGGTTGATCCTCTGGTGCCACGTTCTTTCAAAAGGGCCTGTACCTGGAGCGCCTTGGCCCTGAGTGTGCGAGTAGGTGCGAGGCAGCGTGAGCAGCAGGCTTATATGGTCGGGTTGCCACAAGATTCATTGGGACAGGGCCCCTCGGCTCCCTGGGCCTCAGTCTCAGAGCTGTGGCAGCTGCGTCAACAACAAGAGGAGGCCATCACCCAACTGATTTCCACTCAAGCTGCCCTACAGCAGGCGAGGAGGGAATGTGATATTCTGCGCCGGCGGTTGTACCATGAAAGGTTTGCCCAGGTGACTCCGCTGGTTCCTGATGTAGTGCCTGGAGCCCAGACCCAACAGCTTGGTGCTTCAGTGATGCCCATGAATTCAGATCATGCGAGAGTTATGGGTGCAATGGGTGGGTACACTGACAGGCAATATTTGGAAGCACAGGTGTCAGCTGCAACAAATGTTTTTTATATGCCAGGAAGCACAAGTCCCTGGCCCACAGCCATGCAACCCTCTGTACCAGTCCCAATGCCATACCAATTCCCACCACATCCACCGTTTCTAGTGGAATCTCCATTCTTCGTGCCCTTTTCACCTCCAGTAGTTACGGAAACAGAAGGAGGCGCTGTATTTCCAGTTCAGATGCCTCTGCCTCCTGTGTATCCAACAAATCCATATGCTGCCCCAGGCTCCCAGGATCCCACTGGTCTATGGGACCAGAGATGCTTCATGGCTACTGAACTTCCTCCAGTCATCCAGCATTGTGTTCCTCCAGAGGACATCAGAAACTTCAGCCAGGAGGGAGACCCAGAGAAGACCTGGGAAACAGATATCATGGGAGACAATGAAGGACACATTGAAGGACAAGATGCACGAAGAACCCAGGAGAGGGGTACCCTTGTGGATATTGAAAATGACTATGAAGAAGGAGAAGAAAATAACGAGGAGAAGGATGAAGAAGCAACAATGCCAGTACCAGCAGAAGCTGATGCAGACGCAGACGCAGATGCAGAAGCAGAAGCAGACTCAGACGCAGAAGCAGAAGCAGACGCAGAAGCAGACGCAGAAGCAGACGCAGAAGCAGACGCAGAAGCAGCAGAAGAAAAAGAAGAGGAAGAAGAGGCAGGAGCAACATACGATAATACTGTAGAAGCGCTGCAGATTCACCAGCAACTACATATTCCTAAGGAAGGTGAGCTCTATAGCCAAAGTGAGAAGAGTCCCCAAGCATCAGCTCTGCCTCCCTTGGGCTCTAGTAAAAATCAAATCAAAGAAGGCGTAAAAGAGGCCCAGTCAACCCCTGTGTGGGAGAGCTGGAGCCAAGCTGTGAGAGAAAGCCCAAAGAAACAACAGCCTGCGCTGTTGAAGAAGGACAAGAAGCCACAAGTGGAAGCAGCTTCCCAACCCCAGCCTGTCTCAGGCTCTGGGATGAATTGGATCTGCCCAAAGTGTAAATTTCTCAATTATTCATGGCGCAAGATCTGCTTTAAATGCAGAAGGTAGGTAAATGAAACCTATCTCCTAACAACCCTGCTCCCTGTCAAAATAACACGCTTTACAGACATAAATTAACCTGTTAGTGTTCTACAAAAATATATAAAATATTTTATTTATTGGTTGTTTAGACAGAATTTCTCTGTGTAACAGTTGCTCTGGCTGTTCTGGAACTTGCTTTGTAGACCAGACTGTTCTCGAACTCACAGAGGTTGCCTCTGCCTCTGCCTCCTGAGTGCTGGGCTTAAAGGCATGCACCACCATGACCTGGCCTGTATTTTTTATTGCCATCAAAAATTATCTTGATTATACTGTTCAGTAAGGAAAAGAAAGTTAATATTTTATATTGGTTGGTATTGCATTTTTAAAATAACAACTATAAAATTAAAAATATCAGTACTATTTTTTAAATTTATTTGGGCAAAGTAGGGTTCCTTTTCGATACTGCATTCCTTAAGGCCAAGATTTATTTTTTTTTAAATTTATTTATTTATTTATTTATTTATTTATTTATTAAAGATTTCTGTCTCTTCCACACCGCCGCCTCCCCTTTCCCTCCCCCTCCCCCAATCAAGTCCCCCTCCCTCGTCAGCCCAAAGAGCAATCAGGGTTCTCTGCCCTGTGGGAAGTCCAAGGACCACCCACCTCCATCCAGGTCTGGTAAGGTGAACATCCACGAAAACAGCATTTCAATTTTGCAATTTTGCAGGTGGTGAATTCCTGATGACTGTTCCTGACAAGATGAGACACTGAAGAAGTAAAGAAGATGAAGTTATGAAGCCATTGTTTTTCTTCTCCATTTCTGTTTCAGTCTTAATTCCCTTTTCCTGAAAATACCACACATTGACTAGGAACACTCAAAATTGTAATCTGCATTGAATTTTAGCAATAAAACTTTTTATTGAAAATACTGATTTTCTTTTATTTGCTTTTTTTAAGAAAAGTTCATAGGTTAAAGTGGTGTTTAGATATCGTGTCTCCACAAATTTGCTTGTTGCTGAGCAAGCTGAACTTGCTCCATTATAATACCTTCCAAGAGTCAAAAGAAACATCTTAATTCTCATGGGCTTTATAGTTTGGTGAGACCCCCCCACTAGCTAAAGCAAAGCAAAGCTGAATTATAAGCGAAGAAGAGATTACTGGCACACATTATTGGAACACTGAAGAACAAACTAGTTTTGTTAGAATTTTATTTCTTCACTAGGATGATGGGCTAGCTGAAAAAAGTTTTGCAGGTTGTAATGTTAACAAATTTGATATATTTCATGTAATTTATGAAACTGTTATTTAGAGACCTCCATAAGTGAATTTGAGTAAACAAACTGTTCTTTTACATGCCCTCATCCCATGTGAGGTACTACCAGGAAAGAAGTCAAGGGTGAGAGTTTGTCTTTGCCGCCAGGCTGAACTAAAGCGGTCACTTAGTTTCTTGGATTACTCTGCTAACCACATTCTACCTTTCCAGGTTTTCTTTTTCTTCTGCTGCTACTAAAGAGCAACAAAGAGTGTGAACTTTCATGATATGTCTTTTGTATGATTTGTATTTTGGGAAGGGTTGGCTCAGATAGTAGCATCTCAAATCATCTTCCATCCCATGGAGGTGTAGGACAGTCAATGTTATCCATGGTTGGGGGACCCTTCCTCTTCTGGTAAAGATCTAGGAATTGGAGTCACTTCTGTGGGGCTTCTGGGGGTGGGGTGGAGGAGTGGAAGGGACAAAGGGTGAAAAGGGGGAGTGGATGGTTCTGCCTAAGTTGGAGCCCAGGTACAGGGAGTCCAGCCCAGCAATCTCTGTACTGTTATTTCCCCAGGATTCCCTAGTAGCCCATAAACAGAAATTCACTTTCTGCCTGTGGTCGATTGAAAGAAAATGGCCCCTAAGAGTGTGGCACTATTAGCAGGTATGGCCTTGTTGGAGTAGATGTGGTTTTGTTGGAGGAAGTGTGTCACCGTGGAAGTGGACTTTGAGGTCTCATATATGTTCAAGAAACCACCCAGTGTCTCAGGCCACTTCCTGTTGCCTGTGTAAGATGTAGGGCTCTCAGCTGTCTCTCCAACACCGTGTCTGCCTGCATACCACCATATTCCCAACCAAACACTCCCCAACATGATGAAAATGGACTAAACCTCTGAAACTGTAAGCTGCCACCTTAATTAAATGTTTTCCTTTGTAAGGTTGCCACAGCCATGGTGTCTCTTCAAAACAATAGGAACCTTAACCCAGAGACTGCCTTTCTGTTCTTCAAGGCATTGTCACTAGTCTCTTACCCATAATCCTATCAAGGAGACACACAGTGTCCAACTTCCACTGCACTTCACAATTCCTTCATGCCTACAAACCCAGTATCATGTGGGGAACTAACACAGTCTTTGCCAGGCTCTATTGACAATTTGATGTATAGTTTTGACACTCTTTGGACTACAGCTTCAGAGTACTGAGACAGAGGAAGTACTTCCTTGAAGACTTCAAGTTGACACTCAAAAACAACTAGAACAGGCACGTTTTATCAAAATCATTTGTGCGTATAGTACCTTGGAATTTTAGGAATATTGGCACAAATGAGACTTTGGAACATACCAGCATGGTTTTATGTATCAGCAGGTCTTTCTAGATCTCAGTATAGTTGTTTCTTTTGTGGCTTCAAAAGAAAACTGCTGTTCATTATCAAGCATTTAGATTTCTATGAAAACAATCACTATATACATAATTTTTTGTATATTTTAATTTATTTGTATGGTCTTTGAGGTCTAACTTTCAAAGCAACTTGTACCACTGAGGCTTTCAAATTATGACCTTCTTCTTGGATAGGTACATAAAAAACAGTAGCAGGTTTCTCTGGGAAAAACCTGGGCTTTGGAATCAGGCATGAGTTGAGATACTTGCTCTATTTCTAGCCACACTGTCTCAAAAAAATTACTGAATTTTTCTGATCCCCAATGCTCTGGCTAATTTTATGTCAACTTGAAACAGGCTACAGTCATCTGAGGTGAGGGAACCACAATCAAGAAAATGCCTCTATAAGCTTTGGCTAGCCTCTAGGACAATTTCTTAATTATTGATTGATAAAAGAGAATATACTGATGACATGAATTTTCTTTGATATGGTTAAGGGGAAGGTTTTTATTGTAGCTATAAGAAAGACAGCCAGAGGCATCTGGAAGGATCTAGAGCAGAGAAAGAAAACAGACTGAACATGGTCAACAGACTGGATATGGCTAGGGATATCTGTGAGAGAAGAGAGATTAGCAGGAATAGAAATAAAGAGAAAACACAATGAGAGAAGCAAAGCCAGGAGTAGAGCTGAGAAGAGAGAGAGAGAGAGAGAGAGAGAGAGAGAGAGAGAGAGAGGAGAGAAAAGAGAGAGGAGAGACAGAGAGAGACACAGAGAGATTAACTTTTCAGATGAGAAGCTAGAGTTTTATTAAAAAAATAATACTATGTAAGCTGTTTCAGTGGGTATCCCCATTATGATCTTGACCTCTTTGCTCATATTCTTACTCCTCCCACTCTTTGACTGGACTTTGGAAGCTTAGTCCAGTGCTCTGCTGCGGGTCTCTGCCTCTGTTTCCATCAGTTGCTGTGTGAAGGTACTATGGTGACATTTAAGATAGTCATCAATCTGACTACAGGGCAATGCCAGTTTAGGCACCCTCTCCATTATTGTTTAGGGTCTTAGCTGGGGTCATCCTTGTGGATTCCTTGGAATTTCTCTAGTGCCAGGTTTCTTGCTAGCTCCATAATGACTCCCTCAATCAAGATCTCTCTTTCCTTGCTCTCCCCGTTCTTCGCCATCTCGGTCATCCTGTTCCCTCAAGTTCTCCTCCCCCCCATCTCCTTCTCCCCTTCTCTTCCCATTCTACCCTCCCTCTCCCACCACTCTCATGCTTCTGATTTTGTCAGGACATCTCGTCTATTTCCCCTTCCCAGGGGAAGCCTATATATGTTTCTTTTAGTGTTCTCCTTGTTACTTAGCTTCTTTGGGATCATGGGCTTGTTATCCTTTGCTTTACAGCCAGTATCCACTTATGAGTGGGTATATACCATGTTCATCTTTCTGGGTCTGGGTTACCTTACTCAGGATGTTTTTTTTTTCTAGTTTCACACATTTGCCTGCAGATGTCATTTTTTTTTTTTTTTTTTTTTACTGCTGAGTAGTACTCCATTGTGTAGATATTTTCTTTATCCATTCTTTGGTTGAGCCACTGGCTCGTACCTAGACCTCAGTCTTAAATGGCTATCCTGTCTCCAGGAATCTCAGAATGAGACTGTCTCTGAGAGCTGTCTTGCCCCGTTTTATATTTCTCTCTAGGGCTGGGATTAAAGGAGTGCACCACTGGGATTAAAGGCATGCCCAACCAAATTTCTATAGCAACTAGTGTGGCTACTAAGATTAAAGGTGTGTGTTACCATAGCCTTGTCTATAAGGCTGACTAGTGGGATTGTTTTACTCTCTAATCTTCAGGCAGTCTTTATTTATTAAAATACAATTGAAATGCCACTACACTGGCTATTACAAATAATGTCACTATTTATTGACTTAGTTGAACAAATGTCCTTGTAGTATGATTGAGTGTCCTTTGGTATATGCCCAATAATGGGAGCTCACCAACTCTAGTCTGACAGTGAGGGAACAAGCATAGGACCAAACTAGGCCCTTGGAATGTGGGCGACAGTTGTATGACTGGGGCAGACTGAGGGGCCACTGGCAGTGGCACCAGG